ACCCCAAATTCACATCATCCCCTTTCATCCTGCTGCTGGCATCCTCACCAGTGTTCTCCAGGAAAATCACACATCTTCACTTTCCCAGCCCTGCCTGTCCCATTTCTGCTTCTCTGCTGTTTCCAGTTCCCTACTAACTTCTCTCTGAAGCATCTGTGACTCCACCTTTACCCCTCACTCATCCCCATTTCAATTTCAATCTCATTTCCAAAGTTTCCAGAGCAGCTGTGGCTGCCCCTGGATCCCTGGAATGTCCAAGGTGAGGTTGGACACTGGGGCTGGGACAGTGGGAGGTGTCCCTGCCATGGCTGGAGTGGCACTGGATGGGCTTTAAGGTCATTTCCAACCCAAACCATTCCATGATTCCATGAAACACCTTTTGCTCTTTCTCAGAAGGAATTTCTGCTGAACACAGACAATGTTAATTGATTAAATTCCCACAAATCCTTCTGAAACCACTCTTCATAAAGCACCTGAAAACAATTCAGCTGTTGCACATTTCATGGGCTGACCATGGGTGTGGATTGCCTTTTGTTTCACCATTTGTTGTTCCTTATCCTTGTGTTTATTCTGAGAACACCAGAAAAGAAACACCTTCCCTTTTTTTGTTGTTTATTTTGCATTCTGCCAGGCCTGGTCACAGCATGGCTCCATCAGTAGGACTAAATAAACCAGGTCAGAACATCCTCTGCAACACCCCCTGTGCTGCTGCTCTGGGATCAGTGTAAGGTTCATTTGTAGGGTTTTGTTTTCAAATGAAGGCTTCCCTGGATTTCCCACGCTGGGAACAGCCCCAGTTTGTGGTTTGGATGTGCTGAGCTGCTCTGGGGAGGAGGCACAGCAAGGTTTGATCTCAGAGAGCTGCGGGCTGTGCTGTGCTGCTCGGACACACAGCCCCACTCTGGCCTGTTTAATTCACTGCTTCAGAAGTAGCCAAGGGTTACACAAATAAAATCAGCTTCCTTTGATAGGTGTCAGCACTTTAATGAGGAATTAAATTAAGCCCTGGCTACTCCTGCCCATCTCACAGCACTATTTTTATCTCACGCTCTCCTTTTTTGTTGCTATTTTTTTCCCCCCCATATTTTTTATGACAATTGCTTGAAGTCCTGATCTGGGGGGGGATTATGCCAGATACCTGCACAGCTGGAAACTCATCAGCCATTCAGATTCCTTCAGTGAGAGTGTCAGTTTTAGCACGAAGCTCGCAAAGCTCACCGTGGTGATTTCAAATTTCCTCTTTAGTAGACATTTTGTTTGAATGCCATGAAGGGGCTCCTCTCCCCAAGCCCCCAGGAGCACAATAAGCTATGCTCTTTGAGAGAGCCCAGATGAGTACAAAGTTGCCTTCATTAAATTTTCTTTTCATGCTTTAGCATAGAATATTTCTTTTTAAGACTCACTCTCTCTCGTTTCCTTTTGTGTTTTCATCCTATTACCTTTATGAGGTTGTGATGCATCAGCTCTCTGGAAAAGGTGGGTGCACAGCTCCCTCAGAGGTTTATTCCAGCACTGAAAGATTATTCTGGCATGGGAGGTGTTTCAGGAACAGCTGGAGAAGGGAAAGCAGATCAAGGAATTGCAAACTTAATAAAGCCACGCTGTTGCTCACCTGCCATGTGGCTGCTGCTCGTATTGACTGAGAAAAGCAAAGCTTGGAGATTTTGGGTGTGTTGGTTCTGTTAAGGAGTTCTGGAGATCTGTCAGCATTCCCTGGTATTCCTGCTGCACTCCCATGGCTTGGGGTTTTCCTTCAGTTTAGTTGTGAAATCCCTGAGCGATTAATTAATTAATTAAATATGGTGTGGGACACAGTCTTGTTTAATTTACAGTGGTAGATTGGGATAGGATAAGGGGCAAGAAATGGAAATTGACAGAAGGGGGATTTAGATGGGATATTGGGAAGGAATTCCTGGCTGAGAGGGTGGTGAGGCCTTGGGCTGGCATTGCCAGAGCAGCTGGGGCTGCCCCTGCATCCCTGGAATGTCCAAGGCCAGGTTGGACACTGGGGCTGGAGCAGCCTGGGACAGTGGGAGGTGTCCCTGTCCAAGGCAGGGGTGGCACTGGAGGGGCTTTCAGGTCCTTTCCAACCCAAACCATTCTGTGATACTCTGGTGACACTTTGCCCATCACGTGTCCCAAAATACAGATCTCTCTCAGGACATGGGGTAGTTCAGGACCTCCTGCTCTGAGGATCTCCTGGCCCTGCCTGGGACCAGACCAGGTTGCTTTATCCACTCAGGCATTTAAAACCTCCACATTTTCCCAACAGATTCCACATAATTGCTGAGTTTGCACTATTTACCTTTTCTTAAGAGCTTTTCCCTCAGTCAAACCCCACAGACCCTTAAATGCTTGTGTAAAATGACCTTTATTCATGAAACCACTGAATGGTTTGTGTTGGAAGGGACCTTAAAGCCCATCCAGATCCATCCCCTGCCGTGGCAGGGACACCCTCCACTGTCCCAGGGTGCTCCAAGCCCCAGTGGTCAGTCTGGTCTTGGACATTCCAGGGATCCAGGGGCAGCCACAGCTGCTCTGGATATTTTGGAAATGAGATCAAAATTGGAATGGAGAGGAGTGAGGAGTAAAGGTGGAGTCACAGATGCTTCAGAGAGAAGTCAGCAGGGAGCTGGAAGTAGCAGAAAAGCAGAAATGGGACAGTGGGACACCCTCCTGTATCCCAGGTTGCCCCAAGCCCCACCCAACCTGTCCTTGGGCACTTCCAGGGATCCAGGAACAACCACAACTGCTCTGGGAGTTCCATTCCAGCCAGGAATTCCTTCCCAATATCCCATTGAAGTATTAATTGATGTAATCATAGAACCTTCAGGAGATTCTCTGTTAGGGAGATATTTCATTCCCCTTTGGAGGAGTTTCCTTGCTGTTGTTTCTGACCATCCATCTGTGAGTGAGTCCAGAAATCAATGGGAAACCCTTCAGAGGGGTTCCCATAATGCACAATGGAACCTCCTTTCCCAACAGGAGATCCTGCAACCTGTGGTTTATGGCCCTCTAATGCCAGGCAGCAATTTCATTTAGTGCTTTCCCAAAAGTGCCAGCAGAGCATTAGGGGAGTGGAACAAGCACAGCTGATCAATACATAGACAGTGCTCACCTTCAGATTAATCCAGGAAATGGGCTTGGTTGGCTTGGAGGAAGTGGCTGTGTTCTCAGAAGGACAGAGCTGAGAGCAGGTTTACAAAAATCCCCCCTGAATGGAGGGAGAGAAAAGTGAGAGTGTGAAAACAAATCACTGAGGGGCAGGAGGAGATGTGGCTCACAGGGCTCCCATATGGTTGGTAATGTACAGAATCCTTTGGAACATTCAAATAAGGAATAATACCTGGATTTTGGTCACTGATTGTGTGACTCTGGGAAAAAAATACACAATTCAAAAGCTGTTTATCATGGCTTAGAGTGGAAAAAACCCCACAATTTAAAAGCTCTTCATCATGGGTTAGAGAGTTCCCCCTTTGAAATGGCTTTATTTACACTGACAGAATTTATGCAGCCATGCTAGAGCAGCCCATTCCTTTCTCTCTTCACCTGTGTATAAGAATTCACTTTAAAATCACTTGTGAGTAAAGGCACAGCAAGGTTTACTGTGGGTATTTCTAGTTAATTCAGCTTCTCTTGTATTGATTTATCAATTCACACCAGGAGTTTGGGCATTTTAATGGAGCTCTGGTTTAGCTGGACCTAAATCATCACTGCTGGGAGATGTCTGCAGAGAAGATCCCTGCTGTTTCTGTGTTCCCTGTCCCAGCACAGACCTTGCCATCCTCCCTCCACGTGCAGCAGTTTGTGGTTGCACATTTTGATGCCTGACATGCCTTTGAAGCACGTGCTGATCTCAGCACAGGGGGGATTAAAGGAAAATCCTCCTCCCTAAGAGTCTGCAGAAGTTTGAACTTGGAGATCATAAAGTGTGGAAGCACCTGGGAATGCATTTAAATTCTGGTTTAGATTTCACAGATTCAGATAATGAATGAAAGGAGGAAGAGATGTTTTATATAGGTACATGCTGTAAAATCAAGGTGACTTAACAGTCTCTTTATTTTAGCACCACGTCTTCAGTGATTGTCAAGAAATCAATTCCCCGGAGGAGCAGCGTTTGTGCTTCGTGTTTCATTCCCCTGATGGAGGAAATCTGCCTTGGCCAATCAGCACAATGAGAATCAGAATCACAGAGTGGGCTGGGTTGGGAGGGATCTTGAGGATCACCCAGTTCTAACCCCATTTCCATGGGCAGGGACACCTTCCACTATCCCAGGGTGTTCCAAGCGCCATCCAACCCAGCCTTGGACACTGCCAGGGATGGGGGTGATGCCTTGAGAAGAGACTGGACAGAGCTAAAGAATAAAGCAGGGATTCATTCACAGGATCTCCTCCATGGCTGCACCTTGGGCAGCACCAGAGCCCAGCCAGGGCTGCACCCAAGATGACCCAAAACGGCCCCAAAATGCACGAGCGCTCCCGGGGTCTCTCCCTGGGATCAGTTCTGCTCCATTTGCCCCTTGCAGTTCATTGTCCCATTCCAGCTTCAGCCCAGGCAGTCCCACCCTGCTTGTTTTTCTCTCTGCAGCCCACGGGGTTTGTGCTCTTGGGCTGAGATTTGGGGCATTTGTCCTTGGTCCCCAGCTGGAGCAGGAATTGTTTTGTCTCCCTGCTCTGTGCACACAGCTCACCATCCCATAATGGGAAGCTCAGACCCACACACCAAACCAGCACAGAATGGGAAAAATATAAAAGCTAAACCTGAGGCATGCGGACCTCACAGGGATGAATTCTTTCCTCTGGAAGTGTCCAAGGCCAGGCTGGACAGGGCTTGGAGCAGCCTGGAAGGTGTCCCTGACCAGGACACAGGGTGGAACTGGATGTGTTTTAAACTCCCTTCCAACCCAAACAGATTCAATATTAATAAAATAATTCAGTATTTTTGTCTTTCCTGAGCTGTTTTTAGAAGGAAGCCCTGAAGCTGTTGTCTGTTTCTGCAGGAGATACGAGTCCCATCCCATCTGTGGGGAGCTGCAGGATAAAATCCTCCAGTGCTACCGGGAACACGCCCAGGAGACCCTGAGCTGCTCTGCCCTGGCCAGCCAGTACCTGAACTGTGTCAATCATGCCAAACAGGTGAGCTGGGCCTGTTCTCACCGAAAAATGATGGAATGATGAGCAGAGGGGTTTCTAATTAGTCCTTCCTCCGTGCCTGAGCATTTCCCAGTGTGTGTGTTCCCAGAGCTCTGTGGAGACCACTCAGAGTTGATTTAAATGCTCAGGTTTCCATCTCTTCCCCTGGGAAGATGTTGTTTAGTGTAGCAGCTCTTGCTGTTGGCAGATGTTTCCTGTTATCTACAGTTTTAGCAGTAAAACAAGGGGATTAAAATACCTGGTTGTCTTTGCCATAAATATGAGAAAGTCATGGATGTCTCAAACTGCATTGGTGACCACTTGGAATTCTTGATTTCTTCTGTTTTGTGTTATGCAAGGCTCTAAAACTGCCCTTCACCTGCTCTTGCCCTCCTCTCTTCCAGTTTTGTATGGTATGGATGTCACTGCCAATTAAAATCTTTATGCTTTATTAGTGCAGCATGAAGGAAAATGACAGCAATATGTAAATCATTAAATTAAAAGAAGCTGTAATTTCTCAGTTTTACTCTTTTTCATCAGCCTGCATCTTTCAAATGCAGACATGCATATATTGACCTCAACTGTGTTCTTAAACAAAGCAGGAAATGTGCTCACAGCCCACATGCAGGATGTGTAAAAAGTGTTTAAATCAGTCTGTTGATCTTTATTTCTGCCCAAATCTGTGAGTTAATATTTGAGCACGTGAGCACACCCATCTCTATGTGATAGCAGAGACCTGGTGAGTACAACTGGTGTTTGATCATGGTAATCACCTTCCCTGGGCTTAACTCTGCCTGGGCACAAAATCCCCGAGATTTGCCTCTGATCCTTCTCCGTGACCTTTTGCTTTCAAATGCTGCAGCCTCGAGCTGGTATTCCCAAAGATCTGCTGGAATTAGCACTGCTCGTTGTGCCTCAGTCACTGAGAGCTCCCTGTCCCTTCAGATTCACTTATTTTAATAAATCTTTTATTGGGATTTGTTGTGCCATCCCTGGAAGTGTCCAAGGCCAGCTTGGAGCACCCTGGGATGGTGGGAGGTGTCCCTGCCATGGATGGGGCGGCACTGAATGGGATTTAAGGTCCCTTCCAACCCAAACCCTTCTGGGAATTCCATGATTTCTCCTCCTGCCCATTTTGGAATGCACCAACATGAAAATCACAGAATCATTAAGATTCTTTAGCCCATCCAGTCCAGCACAGCCAAGGCCACCACTGACCCTGTCCCCAAGTGCCACAACCACACGGCTTTGAAATCCCCCCAGGAATGGGGACTCCAGCCCTGCCCTGGCTGGACAAGCCTTTGAGGGAAGAAATCTTGCACAATATCCAACCTCAGCCTCCCCTAGGCTGTTTCCTCTTGTTCTGTCACTTGTAGCCCTGTTTTGGTTTATTCTCTGGTGGTTTTCCCCATGGCCCTCCAGCATGTGCAGCGCTAATTTACTGCTTGTATATTTTTTTAAATTATTTTTTAAAGTAACCAGAAAAAAAATGGATTAATTACTCAGACATGTTTAAGCTCTAAGTCGAGTTTGTATCTGATAGGAATTTCTTCAGAAGACTCTGATGGGGATGAATTAATTCATGTTCAGAAGATGCAGGAAAAGCAAATTGCATAAATATGAGCATTAGGTTTTTGAACCCTTTTAAACACCTTTTTTTTTTGTTGAAGATCTTCATCCGAGCCTGTCAAGTAGTTAAAAGTGTTTCCTAAATGTTTCTTATTCTGTTTCACACATGCTTCAAGATGAGAATTCAGAGAGGCTTCTCTCATGATAACAGAGAAGGAGAAGCCTTTTATGATGGAAATATTTGCAAGCAGGAGCAATTGTTTTTCATAATGAACTCCAGCCCATCCTCCACGTGCTGCAGCTGTAATTGTAATTATTTTTACTCACTGTTTGCCCACATGTCCAGACAGTTCCTTTGAAATAATTCCTAAACGCTGCTCTAAAATCACTTCAAAATTACCTTCTCTGTGTGCCTGGTTGGGAGCCAGAGGAGGGGGATAAATGGCAGATTCAGAAATGAAAAAGTTAACTGACACTGGCTACAAGAAACAAAGGGAAGAAGAAAATTTGCTAGAGGGAATAGAGCAAGATATTGAAAAGCAAATAAGTGAACTAATCCGATTTCCTGGCGGTGAGTCTGGGCACTTGTGCTCGGGCTGAGCACACTCTGTGCTTTTCATAAATTGAATTTATTGACTCCTCTTTCTTCCCTATCTTGCTTATAATTATCTCCCCCTCTCTTCTGTGTGCTCCTTATTTCTCATGCTGTCTGTAATCTCATGTCTCTATCTGTCCTTTTCTCCCCTCTTTAGAAAAGCCCAGAGAGTTGATAATTCACAGGGGTTTGACACATTGGTGTATCTTCCCTTGAAATCTCTTCCCAAAGTCATGAGAAGCTGGGGAGATAAATTAAACTCTGTTATTAATGTTTGCATGTTATTGTAATGATAATGCCAGTAATGGAGAGGAAAACTTAACCTAATGGAGCCATTAAGGGGAAGATATTTGGATTGTGTCTGGCATTTATTTATGCTGAAGTGACTCCAGCCAGACCATCCATGGCTTTTTAATCCTTTTTTTAATGGACTTTAACTGTTAAAATACACATTTTGAGGGTGTTTTTCTCAATTTTCTTCCCTCCTGGGGTACAAGAAGTTCTGATTCTTACATAAAAACACAACTAGTCCATGGCTTAACAAATGTGTGCAATAATTTCCTGCTAAACCATTGAATTCCAGAAGGATTCAGGCCTCTGCAGGCAGGTGAGGTTTAAGAGTACTTAAAATAACAATAATACCAGCAGCTGCTGGTGCCTGGCAGCCTGGCTACAAAATGTTATCCTTTAGCCTTGGATAAAGTGTAAATAAATAGTGTAACCACTATTTTCATTTGTTGGATCAAGTGGGTCCTTAATTATGCATCCTAAATAGAATAAAAACAGGATTTTTGCCTCATTTTCCTGTATTTTTATTTGATCCCAATTTCTAGTCTAAGAGAAAAATAGATGGAATTTGTGTATCTGGAAACAGTGAATTGAAATGCAACAAAAAGACCTCATCATTTAACAGTGCCCTCATTGAAGGAAGTTTATTATGGACGAACTTCCCTCCTTGAGGTTATGTAAAAAAAAAAAAAAAAATTAAATGCATTAATTTTAAAAGGCAAGGAAAAAATGCATTAATTTAAAAAAGGACCAGCTTCCCTCCATGGGGTTAGGTTTAAGAAAAAAAAAAAAGAAATATTTTAAATGCATTAATTTAAAAAGACAAGAAAAAACACTAAAAACCCCCAAAATGTAGATAAAACCAAAGCAAAGATTGGAATACACCTGTTTTTCTGAAGGTGAAATTTTGTGGGCAGAAATATGGATATGATGAACAAATATCTGCATTTTCTTTCCTTAGGACACTAAACAAAAGTAGCCCAATTTTTCTCAGATCCCTTGGGGATTTCCTCTGTTAACCTGTGCAGTGTTAAATCAACATAAAGTTAATATTCAGCTCAGAGATGGTTTGGAGTGAGGCTGTAATTCCTGTGCAAAAAGGAATTTTCCAGGTAGAACTTTCCAGAAATCTTCATGGGGGTGCCATGGATTGGAGGTTTTTGGTAACAGATGAAATTTCCCCAGATTTTTGTTTGTAAATGCACCCAAAGAGCACAAAACTGGCTCCTTTTTTTCCTCCAGCCTCTTTTTCTCCTCTGTGGATGCTGGAGGATTTTGTGGGCACAGGAACAGGGACCACCTGATTGTGTGAAATATGCTTTGTAAAAATGGTAAAAATGCTTTGGAAAAAATGGTAAAATGGTAAAAAAGGTAAAAATGCTTTGGAGAATTTCACAGTCAGGATTGTTAAGGTTGGAAAATACCTCCAGGATTGCGGAATCCAGGCATTCCCAGCACTGCCAAGGCCACCACTGACCATGTCCCCAAGTGCCACATCCACATTTTAAATGGCTTTAAATCCCTCAAGAAAAGGGGACTCCACCCCCTGGGCAGCTGGGCCAGGCTGGACAATCCTTTTGGGAAAGACATTTTTCATAAAATCCAGCTCTTAACCCATGCAGGAGCTGGCTGGAATAGCACAGTTTACTGGGTTATTTAAATAATAATATGAGAATTTGGTTAAAGCCAAACCTGACATGGTTTTAATTCCCTTTATTGTTAATTTTCCCTAATTTCCATGGCTGTAACAATGCAGTCCAGGCTTCCAAGCTGTCTAGTGTTGCTCAGACACCTGAATCAGCTGTTGGGAGGATTTCAAGGTTTAAATTTGGGTTTGTTCTCGACATAAAGCCTCAGAATTATCAAATCTCTTACTGCCATTTCTTGCAAGGAGAGACTCATAATTAGTCTTTACTCATTTGATGGGGTTTGTAGGCAAGAAAAAGGGTTTGGGTTGGAAGGGGCCTTAAAGATCATCTCATTCCAACCCCTGCCATGGGCAGGGACACCTCCCACTATCCCAGGGTGCTCCAAGCCCTGTCCAGCCTGGAACATTTCCAGGGGCAGAAAACCTGGTTTAGTGAAAAGAATTAAATGATTTTTAAGGTCCTTTCCAAGCCAAACCATTCCATGCTCTGTGGTTCTGTAATGAAGCCCAAGGTGAGTGCAGCATGTTCAGATTGTTGGGGTTTGATTCTGACTCAGCACCCAGGAAGGAGCCAGGTGAGGGATATACTCAGTGTTGGATGTTCCCAGGATATTTTTCCTCAAGAGTTTAATTGCTGGGAATGGGATTTTTTTTATTGTAAGGTCAGGTTTTAATTTCCTTTAATAGCCACAGCACTAAAGACATGATAGCATGAGGGGAGGTGAAAATGGATCATTAGTGAGACTCTTCAGGCCTCCAAACCTCTGCCTTGTTGAGTCCTCAGTCTGCTTCACTCTGCTTCTGTGGCTTGTCTCTGGCATGATGTGTTTATCAACAACGTTTCTTGTTCTGTGTTTTTATTTTAAAAAATTGCAAATCCTAGGGGGGAATTGTAGCCAAACTTCAGAATAATTCAGAGTTACTGAAATATGTGTTTCTCCCTGTCTCTCCCCTCCCCTGTGATCATTTTTGCAGCAGAGAATGCTTGGGAGAGGAGGATAAAGGCATTGTCCGAATCAAGCACAAGACCATCAACTAATTTCAGCAGAAGAGCTTTTTTTGTTTTCCCTCCCCAAGAACGACCCAGCAGCCCATTTTCAGGGCAGCCCAATAAAGAGAAGAAGTGGAAGAGCCATTTGAAGGGCAGCACGCTCAGGGCTCAATCAGCAGCAGCGCTCGGGAAGCCAGGCCTGGATCTCCTTCCATCAGAGCTCGCCCGTGCGGGGCCACATCAAAGCCCACTTATTGCTGATTGAAGGAAGAGAAAGAAAAGCGCCTTTCTCTGACCTCAGAGAGGGGAAATATCCTTCAAATGCTGCTGTTTCACTGGAGGATCTCCTCAGAAACATCTCTCTGTCAGAGGCAGGGGTGTAACCCTTGCGGCACCAGAACGCGGTCGTTCCTCAGAGCAGCCCCTGGTCCCACTGTCAGAGTTCTCCTCACAGTGTAGAATTGTAAATTGTGCTTTAACTTATTCCCCAAATGGCCTGGCTTGATGAAGTCTCTCTCTCTGCAGGCCTTCTGCTGGAATGATGTTTGTGACCCAACACTCGGGGTGCTCCATGGGCCTTTGTTTCCATGGGATGGTTCTGTTGTGCTCTTCGCTCGTATCAAGTGCTGACGAGAATGCCTCGCTCTGTACCAACAATAAATCTATTTTATGCACAAGATTGATGCTGCAGTCTGTCTCCCTTCCCACTCCTCGGGGGTGGATGGTGTTCCCTCTGCTGTGTCAATCACGCTTTCCCAGCAGATGTTGTTGCTGAAGCTTTTCAAGCACAGACTTTCATGCACAACCAGCCCTGGTGGCAGGAAGGGGGCTTGGATTGAGCTGTTTTCCATCACAGCCACCTAAAAGGATCCCACGTGATGGGAGTGTTGTGATTTATCCAGCAGCACTTCCCTCCTTGGGAAATGCTTGTGAATGGAGCAGCACAAGCTCTCGTTGCTTGAGAGGGTGTGAGTTCCCCATCCCAGGCCAGGGTGGATGGGATTGGAGTAACTTGGGATAGTGGGAAGTGTCCCTGCCATGCCAGGGGTTTGGAATGACAGGGTCTTAAGGTCCCTTCCCACCCAAACCATTCTGGGATTCTGTGAAAGGCCAGAAACCCCCTAAAATCTCCAAACCAGCTTTGTGCAAGCACAGTTTCCTTTAATTCTTTTTCTTCAGGTAAAAACTGCCACACTCCTCCTTGTCCCAAGCAATCTTGGAAGGGACTTCGTACACAATAGTGAAAGTAATGATGTCAAATGAGCAGCGAGTCTGGAGCCTTCTGCTGTTTGTTTACCTGTTCTCCGTCTCTAATTGGCTGTGTTTGAACCTCATCCTGCTGAACAACTGCGGGTGCACCTGTGGATCTCATTTATTATTCATGCAAAATATTACCAGTGACTTTCCTAATTATCAAGATGCTTTGTGAGCACTGTTTAATTAAGGATTTTTTTTTTTTTAATGCTACCCAGAGAAGCTGGGATTTTTTAATTTTTTTTTTTTACATGCCAAGCAACTGTAATGTTGGTGGGAGGGGAGGATCCTGGAGTTGAACATCAGGTGCCAGGTAAACTGCTCAGGAGGAACAACAGGGACAGAAGCACCGTGTTTACACGGTGCCTCGCTGTAGTGTTTACAAATCAGCTAACTCACAAATCCTTCTCTCTAATGTTCTCTTTTGTAATGGAGAGCCAAGAAGTTGGCAGAGCCAGCCTTGCCAGACTCAGAATTGGCAGCAAAATACAGCATAGAGGAAAAGCAGACGTTTTTTCAGGCCAGATGATGCTGTAAAATCAGGGGAAGAGCTGTGTCGGGAAGGAAGGTCTCTGCTACTGCCAAATGTTTATTGGTTTCTCATCCTGACAGCCTTGAGCAATGAGAGTCAGCCTTGTCTGCTTTGTTCCAACTGTGTTTGAGGTGTTGTGTTTAAACATCTTCTGTGGCATCAGGGCTGGCATCTGCAGCCTGCCTGGCTTGGGCTTGGACGAGGCTGGTGGCAGCAGCAGGGGAAGGAGTTTGGAAATGGCCCTGGTGGTGGTGTGGGCTGCAGAACTGTCCATGGGATGGGCTTTAAAACTATCCATGGTGTGGGCTTCAGAACTGTGTGTCCATGGTGTGGGCTTCAGAACTGTCCATGGTATGGGATTCAGAACTGTCCTTGGTATGGGCTGCAAAATTGTCCATGGTGTGGATTTTAGAGCTGTCCATGGTGTGGGTTTCAGAACATGCTGTGAGCTTTAGAACTGTCCTTGGTGTAGGTTCCAGAACTGTCCATGGTGTGAACTTTAGAACTGTCCACAATGTGGACTTTAGAACTGTCCATGGAGTGGTCTGCAGAACTGTCCTTGGTATGGGTTCCAGAACTGTCCATGGTGTGGGTTTCAGACCTGTCCACGTTATGGGTTTCAGAACTGTCCATGGAATGGATTTTAGAACTGTCCTTGACATGGGCTGCACAACTGTCCTTGGTGTGGAATGAACAGCTGTCCTGGGTGTGGACTTCAGAACTGTCCATGGTGTGGGTTTCAGAACTATCCATGGTGTAAACTTCTAAACTGTCCATGGTGTGGAATTTAGAGCTGTCCACGGTATAGATTTCAGAGCTGTTCATGGTGTGGACATCCTTTCCCTTTAAAGTCAAGCAGTAATTCTGGATATTTCTGTTGTTTCACCACCACCTCTGCTTGTGCCACCTTCACCTTCTCCTTCTGTGTACCTGCACCCCTGTCCTGCTGTAGGTGTTTGATTTTTTCCTTCTCCCCACTTGCTGGTGTGGGTGCTGAAATATTAAAATTATTGAAGTGAAGGAAGACAACTCACCTTTGTTGGTCAGCATTGACTTTGTTTATTGACTCAATCAGTCACTTTTTATAACCGTGTTAATTAAGTTCATGCATATTGCAAAATCCGAGCTCACAATAGGTCAGAGATAACACACCAACCCCTCCTTTTGTTTTCAATACCAACATTTGTGTTCTCAAAACTTAGTTTTAGTTTCCCAAAACAGCCAAAGATAGAATATTTACCTGTTATGAGAAAACTGCCTGAGAACCCTGGTATGAAAGGTTCTCAAGGCCTTCATGTTTGTCACTTTTGCTTTCCCACACCTTATCCAAGGACAAGATATTTACTTGTTATTAAAAACAACCTGAGAACTTCTGCTGTTTACAGAAACAGGCTGTGAGAATTTGCTCCTCACAGCTGCCTTCTAAGCCACTTCTGAAAAAATCTCCAACATAAAATCTTGGAAGTTTCCCTTTTAGCATGGAAAACCTATGGAGAAGTTTCCTTCCTGTTCATGATTTTATGATTCTGTGACCTATTTTAGCACCTGCAGATCCCAAACCAGCACCAGCTGTTGGTGACAGCAGGAGCTGCTGGGACAGAGCAAGGCCAGCCTCCCTCACCACCAGCAGGGACAGAGAGAGTGGAGAAGTGCCAGGATTTCTGTCCAGGGTGTCAGATGTGACTTGCAGGACCCAGAAGTCACGGTTTGTCCTGTGCCAGGTGACAGCACACTGCAGTTCCATCAAAAGCAGAGAAGGATTTAGATTTGGGCACAAACAACTGCAGATTTTGTGGATTCTGTGAGCTGCCCAGCCCATAATTTGTGGTGGTTTGTGCTCAGCTGACACTCTGGGGGTTGGCTGGAGACACAGGAGGGGATGTGGGAGGAGGGAGAGGTCCAGGAGGGTTTCCCTGCTGCTTTCAGCCCTGTGTGGCTCTGTCACCTCCCTGGCTGCTCCCAGAACTGTCACACAGGGCCTGGAGCAAAGGGCAGCTCTGGTTTGATCACCAGTGCTCTGGAGCAGCATCTGCCCCTCCTTGGGGCAGGACCTGAGCTCGGCCATGGTGTGAGAGGGACCTGGGTCTTCAACTCGTTGAGAGAAGCAGCAAAATTCCAGGGGAGCGTGGGGCACTGAGCCAGGGCTCCTCTGCAAGAACGTCAGCTCCATGTGAACAAAGACACTGGGTAATTAGAGAGGTAATTAGTTTGGTAAATTACTAAGGTAATTAGTTTGATTCTCTCTCAAGCCAGTAACTGCTGGGAAGGGCTGGAGGGAGCACCTTGAGTTTCAGGCTGCAGCACCCCCGAGGTTAACCCTTCACCCCCTGCTTGGGAAACTGAGCTGGCATTGGTGGAAATGGGAAATTTTGAAGGGAAAATAACACTAAACCCCCAGTTTGTCAGAGGTTTTGTCCCTAAAACCTCTGAGCCACCTTCTGATGGCACCCAGAGGTGCTTGTGCCATGGTACCACAGTCAGGGCAGGATTCAAGGCAGCTCACCCAGCAGTGGTGTGCTTATTTTATATTTCCTTAACAATGCTGGGGACACCTTTAGGATGGGAACAGTTCCTGGGGAGCTGCTTGGCAGTGTCCCAGTGTCACTGCTGAGGCTGATCCCTCCTGCCTGTGTTGGATCCCTCCCATCCTTTCACCCCTGGGCTGCTTTGCTGTGTCAGCACAGGCATTCCATGGAATCCCAGACTGGTTTGGGTGGAAAGGTCTTGGTTGAGATGACCCCAAAGGTACTAAAAGTCTTTTTTTCCAGCCCCATAACCAAAGAAAAAGTCGAGATTCTTCATCTCTGCTTTTCAAAGTTGTTTATTTGCTCTTATCTATTCCATTCTTTCTCTGACCTGCTGAGATCTGAGGTTGTGGCACAGTCCCTGCCCTTGGGGTGGTGTTGGCTTTTTATACCAAGAACTACGTGTACTTTATTTACAATAATTTTCCAATACCTATCACCTATGTCAGACAGTCTGTCTCTGCTCTAAACCAATCCAGAAGTGTCACCATCACAGCAGAAGATGGAGGACAAGAAGAAGGAGAAGAAGGACAGGACATGCCCAGATTCCTCCATCTTGCCTCTTGAACCCCCATTCTAAACACCCAAAATTCTACTTTTTCACTTTGTGACAAATTCACTATCATTCTACTCAAACTCTTGTGTCTTGTAACTCCTCACACAAAGTTGGTAATTGTTTCCATGGGCTGAAATCAAAGGCACAGGTGTTTGTGACTCTGTGCCAAAGTCTCTGAGCCCCCTGCCAGGGTCTGGAATCACCCAGGGCAGCCAGAGCAATGTCCTGGGTCCCACCAGGAAGGGACCTGCCAAATCATCTCATCCCACCCCCCTGCCATGGGCAGGGACATTTTCCACTGGGCCAGGCTGCTCCAAGCCCCATCCAGCCTGGCCTTGGAGCCATTTCCAGCTTGGGGTGCAGCTCAGCACCTGCAGATGAATTTTTCTGCTTGTTTCCTATGAACCAGGTATTTTCAGCCCAGGAAAACCATCCCTCCTTCCTCACCATGTCCTGTGGGTGGACAGGGCAGTGCAGCTGTCCCTGATGATCCCAAAATGAAGCTCAGAGTGCCAGTGCTCATTTGGGAGGCTGGAGCTGCAGGAAGTGGATCTGATTCCCCAGAAAACTGCAAACGAAGCAGATTCTTCCTCGTGTTCATCTGTTGCTGATACAGAAATAGCAGGGCTGGGAGGGACTTGGCACATGCTGGAGTCCACTATTCCATAAAAACTGATGGAGGAAATTCACAGGTTCCTTCAGCTCCTTGCCACGTTGTTCACAAGTTTGATCGTGGTGGAGGGATCAGATCTGCAAAAGGTTCAGTGGGAGCAAGGAGACGGAAGTCCATTAATAGATGAAATATTTTTGCC